GGAGCGAGTGTGGGAGCCCCGTTATACAAGTAGGATGGTACCCAGGCTAGATGTCTCATATCTGATACTGTAAAACTAGGAGGGAAATTTGTGAACGTTAAAGTTGAGGATGGGACTTAACGGTTTAAAATTGTTGTTTGTGAATTATGTTCAGTCAAAACTGCCCAAGAAAACTATTTAGTTTTTAGTGGACCGATAAAATTTGGTGTACATGTATGTGGCATGGACAGGATTCTGATGCATGTATCAATGGGAAAAATAATATAAGGGACCACCAAGGAGTTGTCATAGCTAGGAGTAGGAGGTCCTTATGTAGAGATGGTCACTTGTACAGGTTTCAATGTCATGTGAATCAAGAAATGTTTGCAGTAAATTTGTGTCTACCGCACCCTGAACATATATTTTTCATGGCATTTCTGCTGATGTTTCAACCGCGAACTACCGAGAGCAAATTAAGCTCCTACAAACTTGAGTCAACTTACAGCATTGTGCGAACTTTTATCATTCTCTGGAAATGTACTCCTAAATAAAACAAAAGGGTTTTGCATTCTTGAAAAGTCATGTAAACTGTGGTCCAGTGTTTGAGCTAGTTGATCGCAGTCTGTAAAAATCGTGGTTCAAAAGAAACTGGAAGTTTCAGAGAAGAAATCACAGCCGTACAGTATAATATATCACCCTGTTTCACACATTTATTATCTTTTGAAGTGGCTGGCCAGAGTTAATAGTGTAACAGAGATGAAAGCTTGTCTGAAGGGCCTCGGGCCTGCTGCGGCCATCAGGCCTTCTTTCTCTGTCCAAAAGCGCAGAACAAAGTAATGAATAATCAATGCACAGAGAAGAGAAGGTCATTTATTCGGAGCCATTTTACTAATGGAAAGTCCTGATGAGTACTGAGAGGAAAAAGCAGGGAGAACACTTATCTTGGAAACCACAGGGACCGCGGGTGATTTCAGCAGGCCTGGAAATTAACTTTTCTTCCTATTGTCCTAGCACTGTCCCGAAAATAAATTTCAATAGTCCCGAAGTGAGGATGAACTGTCCCAACCTATTTTTTGGAAGTATTGTATGACTTCAACTTGAAGTCATACAACATTGCAGAGTAGACAGGAAATTTTGGGGGAATTTTCCAGATCCAAAAGCTGACAAGTGTGCCTGATAAACAAAAGAAGGGCTGACATTCTGATGTTGATTATTTTTCTGTTGTCCCAAAAATGTCCCAAAATGTCTTTTTAGTTGTCCCAGCCTAAATTTTAGCGGTCAGTGGCCATTGGACCACCTTTAATTTCGAGCCCTGTTTCAGAAGGAGTTGGGTCTGGAACAATCAAAAGAACCATCTTTACCCTTTAGTGAAAGTCATTTGGTTTGTGTCCTTTGATTGAGAAGGGTTTAAAGTGACCGCATGTGAGGTTCTATGACCCGGTTTACACAGAGGGAAAATCCTTGCGTACGAAAATTGCGTACCCAAATTGTGTACGAAACTGGCGTACGCGAGCGTTTTTCCTCCGTGTAAACCGGTCTCAATTTGCGTACGCAAGTTTCGTACACAAGTACGATCAGCGGCTCACCCAGCGGGGAGTCTCTGTGCCTCACAGCCTCATGTAGAACAGGAATGAACCCCTTTCTTGTTGCAAATTTCATTCTTTTCCCGCGTTATGTTGGTGACTCAGAACTTAATTTGTTACCCTTGCTATAATGGACTACTCCTGTTCTTTACCTAGTTTGCTATTTCTGTATATTGAATCTTGGCTGTACCATTCTGGTAAAGGGGTGTTAGCAATAGAGATTGGTGACTCAGAGCTTTGTTACCCGTGCTATAATGGACTATTCCTTTTCTCCCCTCCAGGGCGGCCGGTTGTGGAGGGTGGTTCTGAGATCGTAGCAGTGAAGAATAAGAAGATGACTCCTTCTGTGTAGAGAGAAGACATTTGGGAAGAGGTTTCTGTGTTCTTTTTCGTTTCTTCTTGCCCAAGAAAGTGAAGAAATTCAACACTTGGAACTGGACAGATAAACAGGTAAGATGGTTTTCAGCTTTTGCAGCAGTCACATGTATTAGTAAAAAATTGAAATCCATGCTTGAAACACTACCATAGATGATGTTATGAACATTTTTTTCATGAATAATGATGGTCTTTTGACTTATATGGTAGGCATTTTATTATTTTAATGTTTTATTGTTTATTTATTATAGCAATGCACTTCTTTAAACGTCGCCTTCAGTTGAGCTTCATCAAATTTTGGAAATGTTTGTTTTATGTTCCTATTATACACTTGATAGTTCATTGTTTTTAAACAAAGGACGGTTACTTCAGCATCACAGATAGTGTATCTCTGCTATTGTTGAAAACATCTTTGCTCTTGTCTGTTTTTAAAGGAGGATCTAGTTTTGTACATAACTCTCATTTTAGGGTATTGATATAGCTGCCATTTTTTTTAAATATTTGAATTGCAGTCTTAATTTAAAAGTGGGATTTGAACAAGTAGTTTTGTACATAACTCCCATTTTTGCTGCGCATTACTTCAAAGCAAAGCGAAGTGCATTTTACTGTTGTTAAGAGCCTCTGTTGTTTGTAGGAATTTTAACCTTTGACTGGATTCAACTGTATATATCATGGATTGTATGTAGGTGATGGGGCATTGCATGATGTCATTACTTAGAGCACCAGTAATTGTTTGAAGAGAATTCCTGGTAGGTCAAGCTGGTCCTTTATTGTCCCATACCGGAAAAATTCCTTTGTTGTTTCCAAATATAACTTACAAATAGCATTACAGACAATACTTTGGAAAGCACAGGACGTGGTATAAGCCAGGTACGGATCACATGCTAGGAATTTTTTGTTTAGTAACAAAGGTAAGTAAACCTGGAATGTTAATCTTGACATGAGAGTTATTATATGAAAGAGGGCCTGCATGCCCTTTTTCGCAAGGCGTACTCGGGTCTTTTTAGACTTCGTAATTCGTAGGCAGCCTCCGCAAAAATCGACGTAATTCGTAATAGGACATTCGTCGCAAATCGTAAAGCTCTGAGACTTTAACGTAATTCGTAATCGGCGGCAATAATTTTGCGTAATTCGTAATCACTACCCCCCCATGCAGGCCCTCATGAAATATGAGTACATTGGCAACTGCCTCAAAAAAGAAGTCAGACTCCTTAGTAGTTAAAGTAGAAAGATCAGATCATAGATCTAAAGACTGGACATTTTTTACCTCTTTGTGCGTTCCCTTGCAATTAGCCTTCGGTCACGAGTTTGCAAATAAATACATGACTCAACTGTTTGAACAGAACAAAAACAGCAAAGTTCAAGGTTCCGAAGGAAATTGCATTAAATACTGTGTACTTAGGTTAATGAAAAAAGCTGGCAAGGTCTTTTCTGTATGTAACAGTACAGATACACAGAATGTAAAAAAAGATATCTTTCTTTTGTTTGTTCAGCTAGAATTAGAAAGTAGCCATGACCAGTTTTTTTGTGCAATACCTGAAATTCGCGGATATTTTTGCGGGTAACAGATTTCTCGTTTGCTCAAATGGAGAAGAAAAGATATTTTGTAAAAGAGAATAGTCAGCTGAGTCGAGATGACTCACTTTCACATGGCTAAGGCCACACCAATTTAATTTCTTGGTTAACAGATTTTTCTAGAAAAATAATGGAGCGGGCGAGCGAAAAAAAAACACAACAGGCCTAGTCATCCTATTATGGCCCAAAATGGTACGATAGGAGCCATGAAGTCAACACACCAGGCTGGTTCATAATTTAAACAATGAATTTTGAACTTTTAATGATACCATTACATTGAAAGATGGAATAAATGTAACAAGTAGGAAGAAAAAGACTGTTTTCAACTGTTCAGGGCAAAATATGAGCATTTTGCAGTTAATTCTGATTTTTTTATTTTTCAAATCAGAAAAAAATGAAGCGGGTAAATCCGTTAACCACAAAATTAATTTGGTGTGGCCTAAGGCCTAGCTTTCTTGTAAAGTCAGCAGACTCAACTGAATCACCTAGGAGTAACCAGTAGGATGAAAGAGCAACAGAATTGAGATGGAACAATGTCTTTTACTAGGGCAGAACAAGAGTTTTCCTCTGCGTCGAAGACATATTGTTAAAACTCGCTGACATTTTGGGATGTCCTGAAGTGAAATGTATTATGTTTCTCTCCTGTGCGTAAGGTGGAAAATTTCTTCTAGTAAATCGTGTTTGTGCATGACGAAGCATCCATCCGCATTTCAAAACATACCAAATTCAATCCCTCACAAGAACTGAAGGTACGCGATACTTTTTCACCAGCTTATCTGCAAGAACGTCTTTGCCATTTCTGCCCTATTTCCCGACCTGAAAACATCTGCAAGCAGTCAGACTGAAGGATAGGTAAAACAAGAAGATGCTTTGACTGTGGAGTATCAAACAAATAACTTTTGGTGTCCCGGTAGGGCGGCCATGTCATGTTGTGAGAATAGGGGCAGAGTTGAATGGGCACATCTGTGAGGGATAGTTTGGAGGACTGTCTTCTGATGTTGCCATGGTAACAGACTCACAAAAGAGGACATGGGCCGGCTCTAATGGAGGACATACCGTAAATTTATGTATTTTTTGGCAGAATCAATTTTACAGTAGAAGGGGAAAGGAGTCTGTTGCAGTGTTTAATTTTTAAAGTTGGAAGTTGGAATACACATTGAAAGTGCATGAATTTTCAGTGAAGAGATCACTGCGAAAATCACAAATTTGAAAAAAAATAAAATGGAAAACATTTCAAAATTTACAGTACGGCAGTAAGGAGGAGATGGACTGACATAAACAGGTTGCCTGCAAATGTTGCCATGACAACAGCCTCCCAAAGAGGAAATGAACAGATAGTAATGGAGGACAGGGAATAGGGGATGGGAGTAAATGGACATTTGTGATTACTCTCTAGGCAGAGGTTATCCCTTTTGGATGTTTTTTTTTCAAAAGCTTGTTTTAGCCATTTTGTTTAGCTTTCTATTTTGTCAGCTTTTGGTAGCTTATCAGTAATACCTAAAGAAAAGTTAACAAAAAAAGAAAGCCCAACAAAATGCCTAAAAAAGGTAAGGAAAGCTGTCAGAAATACAGTAGGCCAAACTGCTTTGAGAATACCAGGGGCTACTTTTTAGCTAAAGGTCCAAAATTGGACTGATTCGCAAGTGGGGCTGGAATTGTAGAAAAACTGTCCACTTTGTCATTGAATAAAAAGTTATGACTGAGTCTTCTCTAAAACACAGGAAATGCTATTTCAGAATTTTCAAAATTTTCTGGGGTACCCCCCCTAGGAAATTCGAACCTCGCTGATCCCTCAGACAGTGGGAAGAACCCCCTCATTCCAAATCCTGGCTATGGGCAGCTATAGGTTGTGCTGAATTTTTCCTGGCCCCCTGATGGTTTGATCCGGCCCACTGCAGGTCAGGGTGGAGTTATGGGAAGTCCTGCTCTTGCTAAAAGGTTTTGATCAGGGCAGGATTAGAGCCTGAATGGGAGACAGATGTACCTACAGCTACAGATAGACATCTCTGCACTGGGACATATACATACACTCCCACTCAGTTTCTCTGGCTATATTTTATATGGGGGGCTGCATGCCCTTTTCTGTAGAGTGTAATCTGCCGTTTTAATCCCACGTAGAGCGTAGACAGACCGCTTTAATTCAACGTAGAGCGTATTTGGTGCATTTTGCGTAGAGCGTAATTTGCCGCTTTGATTCTATGTAATGCGTTGTAGCCACCCGGAATTTATCGTGAAACGTAATGGGTAGGATTCCTGAATTCAGCGTAATACATAGCCGGCTCTCAAAATTTAGCGTAGAGCGTTGTTATATTTGTCAAACAAACCACTATATATTTGCGATACTTTAATATCAATGGTTTTCGTGTTTCAATTCTGTGCCACAAATTTATCATTACTGCAAACAAATAATTCACCAACATTATTTCTTCTGCACCTGCCGCCACCGCAAACATATAGTTCCGCAATTTACAGTAGTCAATACAATATAACTCAGGTAACAGTATCAGATTATTTTTGAAAAAAAAAAGTCTGAGTGTGTGTGTGTGTGTCTGTGAGAGATTGTATTAATACATGTAGTTTTATAGTACATGTATTGTAGTATATCAGATTACAGTAATATTTAGTCATTCTCAAATCAGCTTACTAAGGTGAAGCATATTCAACTACATGTACAAAATGTACATGTATCTTGTGATTTTGTACCATAGGGCAATATGGCCTTGCTTACTGCTCATGTTTTCAGCCAAGCAGCAGCCAAATTTGAAGGGGAAACCTTTATGCCAGACCATTTCAAATTCAAGTTCACCCATCCATAACTATGGTGGCCGAGACCTCACCACATCTCTATAACCAACTCTTCAAAGGGCAAGACTTATCTTCCTTCGGAGGTCAAACAGTAAAGTTTTGTGGTAGCCTGTTTAGCAACACTGCGGTGTAAAGTCTGGGATTCTGTAAATGGGGGTCTCTTGAGTGAATTCAGTTACAAGCTCCGCTACGCCCTTCAGCTGCTCTGCTCCTGTTAAACTGTTCGACCTCTGGCCTTGGGAAGGGGCATGGGAAACACAGCTGCCGCCCGCGCTGTCAGCACTTAGAACCAACAGTGGATGGGAATCTGCAGTCTGGCTCATGTGTGTCTTTGGATGCCCTTTTTTACCTTCGTCAAGAAGGTTATGTTTTCAGGCGTTCATGTGTGTGTGTGTGTGTGTGTGTGTGTGTGTGTTTGTGTGTGTGTGTGCATGTGTCCATGTGTGGACTCGATAAATTGAGAAGGCTTAAATAGATTGACTTGATATTTAGTAGGTGGGTCTTGATGAGACCGCTAAATGATGAGATTTTGGACCCCTTAGTGGCTTGTACTTAGTACTGCAGCTGAATTTCCGGTTTTGATATCTCATGATCTAGACATGCTGGGGTTACAATTTGGATGGTAGGTAGCCCTTGTCCTGGGGAAGAAGTGACATGAGTTTGGGCCCCCTAGCGGCTTGTCTTTGTCCTTGTTT